ACTCATTTGAGGCTAAGTCGACCTAGAGGAGGCCCAGGACCGGATCAGATAATCGCTGTCACTGCTGGTGGCCCTAGTGGGAATCGAACTCAGGTGGCCAGGTTCGTAGCAAATACAATACTACTACACTACACACAGACACACAGACAGACACACAGACACACACACAGACACACACACAGACACTCACTCACACAGACACACTCACTCACACAGACACTCACTCACACAGACACTCACTCACACAGACACACACTCACACAGACACACAGACACTCACTCACACAGACACTCACTCACACAGACACTCACTCACACAGACACACACTCACACAGACACTCACACACACACTCACACAGACACACACACAGACACACTCAGACACTCACACACAGACACATACTCACACAGACACACACTCACACAGACACTCACTCACACACACACACTCACACAGACACTCACTCACACACACTACACACACACTACACACACACTATACACACACTAAACACACACTACACACACCACACACACACTACACACACTACACACACACTACACACACAGACACACACTCACACAGACACACACACAGACACTCACTCACACAGACACACACTCACACAGACACACACTGACACACACTCACACACACAGACACACAGACACACTCACACAGACACACTCACACAGACACACACACAGACACACACACTCACACAGACACACACACTCACACAGACACACACACTCACACAGACACACACTCACACAGACACACACTCACACAGACACACACTCACACAGACACTCACTCACAAAGACACTCACTCACACACACACACTCACACAGACACACACACAGACACACACACAGACACACACACTCACACAGACACACACACACTCACACAGACACACACTCACACAGACACACACTCACACAGACACTCACTCACAAAGACACTCACTCACACACACTCACACACACAGACATACACTCACACACAGACACACACACACACTCACACACACACTCACACACACTCACAGACACTCACTCACAAAGACACACACTCACACATCTCCCCGTGTCTCCCTCGTGTCTCCCTGTATCTCCCCCGTGTCTCCCCGTGTCTCTCTCCCTGTGTCTCTCTCCCCGTGTCTCCCTGTATCTCCCTCGTGTCTCCCCCGTGTCTCCCTCGTGTCTCCCCCGTGTCTCCCCGTGTCTCTCTCTCTCCCCCGTGTCTCTCTCCCCGTGTCTCCCTGTATCTCCCCCGTGTCTCCCCGTGTCTCCCCGTGTCTCCCCCGTATCTCCCCGTGTCTCCCTGTATCTCCCCCGTGTCTCCCCGTGTCTCCCCCCCGTGTCTCTCTCCCCGTGTCTCCCCGTGTCTCTCTCCCCCGTGTCTCTCTCCCCCGTGTCTCTCTCCCCCGTGTCTCTCTCCCCCGTGTCTCTCTCCCCCGTGTCTCTGTCCCCCGTGTCTCTCTCCCCCGTGTCTCTCTCCCCCGTGTCTCTCTCCCCCGTGTCTCTCTCCCCCCCGTGTCTCCCCCCCGTGTCTCCCCCCCGTGTCTCCCCCCCGTGTCTCCCCCCCGTGTCTCCCCCGTGTCTCCCCCCCGTGTCTCTCTCCCCGTGTCTCTCTCCCCGTGTCTCCCCCCCGTGTCTCCCCCGTGTCTCTCTCCCCGTGTCTCTCTCCCCGTGTCTCTCCCCCCGTGTCTCCCCCCCGTGTCTCCCAGGGGGTCTATCCTGGCGTCTCTGGACACCTTCAAGAGGATGTGGGTCTCCAAGAAAGAGTATGAAGATGATGGCACCAGGGTGATCCACCGCAAGACCTTGTGAACCTAGCCTGGCACGGCGACAATGTTCGGCACTGCTGCGTTTACGTACTGTTCATGCCACAGCACAACTCAGCTACTCACTCACTCAGCCACTCACTCACTCACTCAGCCACTCACTCACTCAGCCATTCACTTGCTCAGCCACCCACTCACTCAGCCACTCACTCACTCAGCCATTCACTCACTCAGCCACTCACTCACTCAGCAACTCACTCACTCAGCCATTCACTCGCTCAGCCACCCACTCACTCACTCAGCCATTCACTCACCCACTCACTCACTCAGCAACTCACTCAGCAACTCACTCACTCAGCCACCCACTCACTCAGCCACCCACTCACTCAGCCACCCACTCACTCAGCCACCCACTCACTCAGCCACCCACTCACTCAGCCACCCACTCACTCAGCCACTCACTCACTCAGCCACTCACTCACTCAGCCACTCACTCACTCAGCCACTCACTCACTCAGCCACCCACTCACTCAGCCACCCACTCACTCAGCCACCCACTCACTCAGCCACTCACTCACTCAGCCACTCACTCACGCAGCTACTCACTCAGCTACTCACTCACTCAGTCACTCACTCACTCACCCACTCACTCAGCCACCCACTCACTCAGCCACTCACTCGCTCAGCCACCCACTCACTCACTCAGCCACCCACTTACTCACTCACACAGCCACTCACTCAGCCATTGATTCACTCAGCCATTCACTCACTCAGCAACTCACTCAGCCATTCACTCACTCAGCAACTCAGTCACTCACTCAGCCACTCACTCACTCAGCCATTCACTCACTCACTCAGCTAACCACTCACTGATCTGCCCAGTGCTAGCGATGTTTACTACACACCGCACCAGGTACTCATTTTAAGGCTGAGTCTACCTAGGGGAGCGTCCATGACCGGTTTAGATAATCGTCACTGGTGGTGTTGGCCGTGAGCGGGAATCGAACTCAGGTCGCCGGGTTCATAGCGCAGCGTAGCGCTAACCGCCACTACTACACTACACAGACATCTAGGCTTGGCAAGGTGCACCTAGCCTGGCACCTGGACGGTTCATATGGGAGAGCTCAGGGTTTTAATGACACTACGACCCACTCGCTCACCCACTCACCCAGCTCCTCACCCACTCGCCCACCCACCCACCCACTCGCCCACCCAGCCACCCACTCGCCCACCCAGCCACCCACCCACTCGCCCACCCAGCCACCCACCCACTCGCCCACCCAGCCACCCACCCACTCGCCCGCCCACCCACTCACCCACCCACTCGCCCGCCCACCCACTCACCCGCCCACCCAGCCACCCACCCAGCCACCCGCTCACCCACCCACCCACTCACCCACCCACTCGCCCGCCCACCCACTCACCCACCCACCCAGCCACCCACCCAGCCACCCGCTCACCCACCCACCCACTCACCCACCCACCCACCCACTCACTCACCCACCCACGTGAGTATTAAAGTGCACAGGCAACGGAGCTCCCGTATCCAGGGCAACAATGCCAGCATCTCCCTAGCTACAGCGTCTCCTTGGCAACACTCCTGGCCCGTGATTAACCACGCCCCCATCTTTAACACCGCCCCCTAATTAGCCACGCCCCCCCATCTTTAACACCGCCCCCTATTTAAAGCCCCTGCTGAAGCCCTGCCCCCTTAACCCCCACCCCCTTCATTAGCCCACTCATAGACCCACCCACTAATCCCCTCACCCACCCACTAATCCCCTCACCCACCCACTAATCCCCTCACTCACCTACTAATCCCCTCACCCACTAATCCCCTCACCCACCCACTAATCCCCTCACTCACCTACTAATCCCCTCACCCACCCACTAATCCCCTCACCCACCCACTAATCCCCTCACCCACCCACTAATCCCCTCACCCACCCACTAATCCCCTCACCCACCCACTAATCCCCTCACCCACCCACTAATCCCCTCACCCACCCACTAATCCCCTCACCCACCCACTAATCCCCTCACTCACCTACTAATCCCCTCACCCACCCACTAATCCCCTCACCCACCCACTAATCCCCTCACCCACCCACTAATCCCCTCACCCACCCACTAATCCCCTCACCCACCCACTAATCCCCTCACCCACCCACTAATCCCCTCACCCACCCACTAATCCCCTCACCCACCCACTAATCCCCTCACCCACCCACTAATCCCCTCACCCACCCACTAATCCCCTCACCCACCCACTAATCCCCTCACCCACCCACTAATCCCCTCACCCACCCACTAATCCCCTCACCCACCCACTAATCCCCTCACCCACCCACTAATCCCCTCACCCACCCACTAATCCCCTCACCCACCCACTAATCCCCTCACCCACCCACTAATCCCCTCACCCACCCACTAATCCCCTCACCCACCCACTAATCCCCTCACCCACTCACTCGCTCACCCACTCACCCACCCGCTCACTCACTCACCCACTCACTCACTCACCCACCCACTCACCCACCCACTCACTCGCTCACTCACCCACTCACCCACTCACCCACTCACTCACTCACCCACCCACTCACTCGCTCACTCACCCACTCACTCGCTCACCCACTCACTCGCTCACTCACTCACCCACTCACTCACCCACCCACTCACACACTCACACCCCCCCCGTGTAACCTCTCGTGTCGATGGGAGCAGTGATGGCTATGATGATGGGGGTGGTGGTGGTGGTGATGGTGGTGGTGATGATGGTGATGATGGTGGTGGTGGTGATGGTGGTGATGGTGGTGGTGATGGTGGGTTATGGTGGGGGTGGTGATGATGATGGGGGTGGTAATGATGGTGGTGGTGATGGGGGTGGTGATGGTGGTGATGGTGATGATGGTGATGGGGGTGGTGATGGTGGTGGTGATGGTGGTGGTGGGTTATGGTGGTGGTGATGATGGTGGTGAAGGTGGTGATGGTGGTGGTGATGGTGGGTTATGGTGGGGGTGGTGATGATGATGGGGGTGGTAATGATGGTGATGGTGGTGGTGATGGTGGTGGTGATGATGGTGGTGGTGATGGTGGTGGTGATGGTGGTGGTGATGATGATGGTAGTGGTGGTGATGATGGTGGTGATGGTGGTGAAGGTGGTGGTGGTGGTGATGGTGGTGATGGTGGTGAAGGTGGTTATGGTGATGATGGCGGTGAACAATAAAAATAAAACATCGTCCTTTTGCATTTCGCGACTACAAAGCTGAGTTAGTGTGGATCTATCATCACCATCATCATCACCATCATCACCATCATCATCATCACCACCACCATCATCACCATCATCATCACCATCACCACCTTCATCATCTACATCATCTACATCATCACCATCATCACCACCATCATGATCATCACCATCATCACCATGACCACGATCATCTACATCATCACCACCATCACCAACACCACCATCACCAACACCATCATCACCACCATCATTACCACCATCATCACCATCATCACCACCAACATCACCACCACCATCATCACCACCATCAACATCATCACCAACATCACCATCATCACCATCATCACCACCATAATCAACACCATCATCACTACCACCACAACTACCATCACCACCTTCACAACTACCATCACCACCTTCACAACACAACTACCATCACCACCTTCACAGCCACCACAACTACCATCACCACCTTCACAACTACCATCACCACCTTCACAACCACCACAACTACCATCACCACCTTCACAACCACCACAACTACCATCACCACCTTCACAACCACCACAACTACCATCACCACCTTCACAACCATCACCACCTTCACAACCACCACAACTACCATCACCACCTCACAACAACTACCATCACCTTCACAGCAACCACAACTACCATCCCCACCTTCACAACTACCACAACTACCATCACCACCTTCACAACTACAATCACCACCTTCACAACCACCACAACTACCATCATCAACTTCACAACAACCACCACAACTACCATCATCAACTTCACAACAACCACAACTACCATCACCACCTTGACAACCACCACAACTACCATCACCACCTTCACAACAACCACCACAACTACCATCACCACCTTCACAACCACCACAACTACCATCACCACCTTCACAACCACAACTACCATCACCACCTTCACAACTACCATCACCACCTTCACAACCACCACAACTACCATCACCACCTTCACAACCACAACTACCATCACCACCTTCACAACTACCATCACCACCTTCACAACCACCACAACTACCATCACCACCTTCACAACCACCACAACTACCATCACCACCTTCACAACCACCACAACTACCATCACCACCTTCACAACAACCACAACTGCCATCACCACCTTCACAACCATCACCACCTTCACAACCACCACAACTACAATCACCACCTTCACAACCACCACAACTACCATCACCACCTTCACAACTACCATCACCACCTTCACAACAACCACAACTACCATCACCACCTTCACAACTACAATCACCACCTTCACAACCACCACAACTACCATCACCACCTTCACAACTACCATTACCACCTTCACAACAACCACAACTACCATCACCACCTTCACAACTACCATCACCACCTTCACATCCACCACAACTACAATCACCACCTTCACAACCACCAGAACTACCATCACCACCTTCACAACAACCACAACTACCATCACCACCTTGATAACCACCACAACTACCATCACCACCTTCACAATAACCACAACTACCATCACCACCTTGATAACCACCACAACTACCATCACCACCTTCACAACCACCACAACTACCATCACCACATTCACAACCACCACAACTACCATCACCACCTTCACAACAACCACAACTGCCATCACCACCTTCACAACCATCACCTTCACAACCACCACAACTACCATCACCACCTTCACAACTACAATCACCACCTTCACAACAACCACAACTACCATCACCACCTTCACAACAACCACAACTACCATCACCACCACAACCACCACAACTACCATCACCACCTTCACAACCACCACAACTACCATCACCACCTTCACAACCACCACAACTACCTTCACAACCGCTACAACTACAATCACCACCTTCACAACAACCACAACTACCATCACCACCTTG